CTATTGACGCTAGCGAAAAAATTTTATATAGAAATTGTAGATCTCGTCGTCCTCTATAAGAAAGGTCCTATGCAATTTTTCCGTATCTCCAAGGGTTTAGGAGTTATTGAGGAAAAACGAAATTTTTTTCCAAAAGTTCGCCGTTTCGACGCTGGGATGGTCGGATTTTGTCAACATCAATAAAATGCCATATAATCATATGTAACTCATTAAATATCGAAATTAGAAGAAAAGTGCACTATTTTTAATTTTAGGAAATGCGATTTTCTAAGGTACATAAACTTTTGGTATTGACTACATAGCCAATACATCCTTAAGCTAGAAGGTTGAAGTTAACCGAAAAGCTCGAACGTAACACTGCACTGTCGGACATCAATTGAGGCCGTGAATGATATTTCATGAAAATCTTTCACAAGGATAGAAATGTTGTGAGAGTAAGCAACATCGAACTTTTCCCTTTGCCGAAAATTCCACTTCGCTAGAACTTTTGTTACAGATCAAACGAAGTTTCGACCATTGTCTCTGTGTAGAACCTTTCACAGGGTTTTCGTAAAGCGCGAAGTTAGAATATTTCCCAAATTTTCAGCGTCGCCCGTCAATTATATTGGCTGGTAAGGGTGTGTATCAACGATAATAGGGAAGCTTGCGCCGCGCGTAAATTCGAATTTTTGTTCGAGACTGGTTCCAACGTGGCTGGTTTTTATGAGCGACGTCGCCTCTCCCGTGATATCGCGTTTGTCCCCGACGCGACGCTTCGCTTTTTCAACGCATCCGTAAACGTGCACACGTCGCGTCGGACCGAAAGCGTCTAACTTTGAGAAGAGTGCGCATTTTTACGGCGCTGGTGCGTGACATATGAAGCCACGGGAAAATTTTCCAGGTTTCCTGGTTGTTAACGAGGAAGTTGGAGATGGTCCTGGTAGCTCTGATGCGCCGTCACCGTGGATCAGGTACAATTTCAGAGAAAGCTGAGAGTCAGCGACGCAATTTGCGTCCATCAGACAAGATGCGATGCAATTTACTTGAGATTAATGGTATCCGTGTACCATTTATTTATTTATCGGCCAATGTGCTTTGATAATTTACTTAATTAAATAACTCTGACATTATTCCATTCTAAGCGAGCGTTCTGTTTCATTGATATTTTCCATTATTTAAAATCAGATGCGCTCTCTATGAAAGTACTCGTATTTTTCTATGGAAAATACTTGGTCGTCCCATTTTCAGTAACCAGTTCCTCGCAAGCATCGAATGCACCTTCGCGACGATTGATTTCAGAACTCATTACCTCATTCATCCCGCGGCCACGTTTCGCCCATTTCTCTTCCTCACCCTATCGTTCCCTCGTTATCGGGAACGAAACTTATTTCGAGCCAATGGATACCACCTCGTACTCTTGCTTCGATCAGACGTGGAGGAGAGTGAATTTCAATTTTCGCCTCGTTTGGCCCGCACGATAATCGTTCCGTTCGCACTGGCTCTCGCTGGCTCGTCTGCTGTATGCATGTACACTTCCCAGCTCGAATGGGAAGATACTGTCGTTGCCAGCCGGTCGGCCGGCTCGACGAAATGAACTTTATCACGCAGCTGGGATCTTCATTGGAAAACGTGCGCGCCTGCCGTGGTGTGGCAGCGCGAGAAAGCTTCCTCCTAGCGACGTTGACATTGCGGCCAGGATTCATGGTTTTCGCTTCCGTCGCCTCTTTCTCTTCGCTTCCTTGCACTGGCTGCATGCTGCTCTTTTAACCACGCTTTTGTCACACCTTTTGGCCGGTACTTTTTCGCATGATGAATGAGCTCGAACTCTGTCAGGGATCACTGAGACGATTCAGGTTGATCTTGATTTTATCTTCTAATCATTTCTATTTGCAAACTGATTATATCTTATTTTTGCTACTGTCACATTGCGTTAATATAACACGTTTGCAATAAAATTTTCACATATTAAATGAGCTTTATTTGTTAGTTGTTTTACGCGCGTGTCACATTCTTCAATTTTAATCTTACTCCTAGATACGAATTTCATATTTTCCGTTATTTTCATGATACATTTTTTGCTCGTAGATTCATAATATAAGTTTTCATCACAGTGTTCATATTACGCCGTGCCCACCTCCTTGACCCTCCGTTGCACTGCCTGTCAGCTGCAGTTGCGTCAACCCTTCCCGACTTTTAGAATCTCCGAAGCTTTTGTTGCTTTTGTTCGCGTGTCTCCCGGTTTTTGTCGTACATTCCCTTTTAATTTTCTTCCGCGGCTATTCAATTATTAAAAAAACAAATGCGAAGATCGTGTCGCTGATATTTGAAGACCGATTTAAAAATTTCTTCCCTTTCTTCGTTCGTCGTATTTTCGAACTTTTACGTTTCCCTTAACGAAACGGGAAGGTCAATGGGACGGCGAAAGTTCGAGCGAACACCAGCAAAAAGGCTTAGCGTTCGACATCTTCACGGATATCAAGGCGACTTACCCGGTCGTTCTTTTTTCTCGAGAAAAATCTATTTTCCATGACGCGAGGGCAAAACTTCTCCACTTTCCGGTAAACGGTCCGGCATAAAAATCTGCATGCGATCATTCCGGCGATGGTTATCTCACAGATTCGATTCACGACTCGATCACGCGAAACTCTTTCTCGCCCTACCTATTCTCGTTTCCCGGACTTCTTAAACGACACTTTATGAATACTATAATCCTTCATTTTCGGGTTTACACTTTAACGTTAAATGAATGTAATCCGTTAAGAACAATGCATTTTTCAATCTCAGTGGTAGATACAAAGTAATTCTCATTCGTCGAAATGTAATATTTCTCTCAAATGTAACAGACACAAAAAGCTGTATTTTCAGCTCAAAAATGAATTGATTTTTTACCAGATTTCCCTCGACGTATATTTTGATTCTACGCATACATACACTTCTTTTAAATATCTTTCCATTCCATTGCGGAATGAATTCACCTATGCAAACCTGTTCCCTTTGAAAGAATTTCAATCCTGGACCCATCGTAAAAATTGAGACCGCAACTTCTCTGAATATTGAAATTCAAACTGAATCAACGGAAGATGATTCAGAAAATAATTAATTTCGGTTTTTATGTTCGATTTCTAATTCTAGGAAGCTTGACAACGCTTTTTCGCGTATATGAAACGCGAAGCGCTTTCGTTCTAAAAGGGCGGCGATAGAAATTTTTTTTCAGAACAAATAAAATTGTGCGATACAAAAAATTGTTCTATACCCGGCGCCAATTAAGCTAATCTGTTATGGCCTATATTTCGGAATCGTTATTAACAAACACACGAATTGATTTCATTTGTAGACTCGACCTGTTGGTCGGTCGAATAGAAATGCAGACACGTCGCTGTTCCAACAACAACGCGACAACAATAAAGCGAGACGTGCGTTTTAAATTACCAACGGTCGTGTACGAGGCAGCACATACATATATCAGCCGACCGGATGACAAATAGCGAAGATAATTATTTTTATTTGTTCAAAAATATTCGGGATCGCTCGTTACTCAAATGCTATCGGTGAAGTCGTACGTAAAATCAGATATCCGCCGGCGAGGAACAAGTTATTAAAACTTGCGGCCTGTCGGTGATAATAAATTAATCGGACCAGGTATCTACGCGAAATCGCGTTTACCAAACGAATATCCATTCTGGCCGATGCAAATTTAAACGCTAAATGTTTGACTGTAGCCGGTACAAATTATGTACACCGACGTTCCCGCGAAACGCGCGGCTATTATACGTCATAACGTGAAAATTCTGTGTCATCCGTCGTTGGAGTCTCAAGCCGTAAAACTTGTCCAATGGCCAGGCGAGAGGACGGCTCGAGAAAATTTTCCGCCGCGCCGGTTTGCCGGTTAAGTCGCAATCTATATGCAAATCCCCGAAATCTCGGCTTCTCGTTCAGGCCGCAAACACCGTGATTACGCAATTAAGACAGCCGTCCGTGGCTGGTTTACGCGAGACGTCGTCGTGAGAAAAGGAACGAAAAACAGAGACAACGGAGGAGATATAGTCGGCACGAAATTTTCAACGGCGCCCTCTTCCGCCTGTAGAAGGGTAAACGAAACAGTCCTGTTACTTACATCGTCCGGATCTTGGTTTTTGGGGGTCCGAGATCCTCTCCCGCCTGCTTGTTTCCTCGCTGTCATCAATCTTGGTGACGTACGACAGGACCGGACTGAAAGAAGAAAACGGAATTTCGGGGTTGACACTGTCAGGCTTTTCCAGCTGAAAAGTGGTCTGTACTTTTTCTCCAGACACGAGCACAGTTTATCTTCCCCTTAAAATAATTAAATATTGAACCATTAAATGCGCACTGCGTGCACAAATATTTTTGTTAAAACGTTTCGTTCAGAAGAAGTAAATTTGAGTAAGTTACTAAGGGAAACGCGACTTAAAATGATCAGTGGCAATTTCCCTCGTACACCGAGTAGCTTATCTTCGATCTCGAGGATGGGTGCAAAAGGCACGGAGAGATTTAAGCGAAGCGAACGTTATCGCCGGCGACCATTTGGCCGATACGTTACGTCGAGTAATTTACGAGTGGTAGGTAGGTGGAAGTTTATGAACGAGGGAGGCGGTGTCATCGTACAAAAGCGGGTCGGGGATCCCGGCTTGTTTGCCGGCTAGGTAAATACATATAAGCCGTAGCTCGTGCTGTAGCTGACCCACAATAATCAATGCGAAACGCCAATTAAACGTGCTCGCGATTATTCCGGGCATTTGTCGAAACGAATTTACGTTAGCTTATTATAATGTTAATTCGCGCGGGCCAGCCGCTGGTACACAGGCTGCCGCTAGCGGTAATAAATTCCGCACCGCGTTCTGTCACGCCTTTGTGCCCTGGCCGCCGCGCCAAATTCAATTTCATCCTCGCGCCGTTTATGTCCCGCGGTTCGCGCCTCTAATTCGTCCGGGAAACCGCGACGTCAGTAGCTCGACAAATTTTTAGAAACTGGGGAATATCCATATTTCGTAACAGGCTCCAAGCAGCCGACAATATTATGACTACTTCGTCGTACAAATTTCAAACGGAGGCGTCAAATTGTTACGGCGATCAAAATCGAAGAGCGAAGAGGGTTGGACATGATCTGTGATAGCAGTTCGAGCGAAACAGGCAAGAAGGCGAACGTCTGACATGGGAAGGTATGGACTAACAGACAAGGAGGAGAAACGCGTGACTGAGGAACCGGGAGGGAGGACCGTGACGGAGGGTTTTCGGGTAAAGGGTTGAAGGGTGGTGGGCGACTGTTATTCAAACGGCATGCGAATCTACTGTCGGAGTTGAGCGCGCGCCGTCCCCGCCGACAAAAGACATTCTTTTCGTCCGCGATTGAATATGCGATTCTTTCTCCCACGTCTCCGTTCGCCCACGTTGGAGGCATCGTTCCGTTCCCGCGTCACCCTCCTCGACCATTCTTCTAAATTCTACGCCATAAAAATACGCCGGTTTTATAGATATTTTCATAAATATGTCTCAAATATTTGGAAATATTTACAAATTGGACGATCAAAAGTTCTAATCGCCAATCGTATAAACTGGTTCCATTATTTTAAATGTGAACATTGGTCAGGACATAAGACATGATTTGTGATTACATTTTCTCTGAGTCGACTCAGAAGAAGTTTAGTTGTAAAATATGAGTAGGAACTCTGCGACGATTCAATTAATTTTCTTAGCTTTAAATCTTATTGAGTAGATCATATTTTGTTTCGCTTCTTTTGTGATCTGGTTTCGCGTGCGACAAACCGACGCGGCGACGTTCATTCTGGTCGGAAGCAGACTTGCAAGACGAGTCCCGGGAAGGAAACAATAAAGATCGCGGCCGCGTTTATCATACGCTACTGGATACCGGGCACGGACCACCCGCGCTTCCGTGCCGAGTCTTCGAGCCTGAAAGACGTGCCGCCTCCTCGACTGCATTCGAGGAGAGAGAGGAATAAAGAAAGAAGCTGGCGATATATTTTTCAGCGCGAAAGACGTCTCGCTGGGTTGCAACCTTGGAAAAATCTCACTTTTTCTGTTCATTCGGAACCGGCTTTGTGCGACGTGACGCGACCCGTCAGATTCACATGAAAACGGTTTTTCGCCCTCTGCTTTTCTTTCGACGCTCACTGGATTGGTATAAAAAATTCATACGGGTGCGAAACGATCGGCTATATTTTTTCAAAAATTCGTTCTATGTATGAACCGATGTCTCGCATTTGTGAAAATATTCATCTTCTATTTTACGGCAAACAGAAAGCTCGGCTTTGCAGTTTCTTACTGACTCGAAATTTTCTATTATTATTGATGAGGCTAGGCCGATAGCCGGCTGATAAGATCGATGCTCGAGGGACTGAACGGGGTCGAAAAATATAAAACGGCGGATGAAATCTGGGAGAAAGCGGTGATTTTTAGCCGGAATTTCGAATTACAGCGTCGAGCGGGAATTTCTCGTTGGTCCAATTCCGCGTGGTAAACCGACGATCGTGCGGGAACTCTCATAATTAATTCACCGTGCACGTGGGTCGATCGGTTCACAATTAATTCGACCGATCGAGCGCAATCGAATCGGTTGCCGTCCGATAGTTCGCCACACCACGCCGCGCAGTCCCGCTATTTACTTGGCTATCAATCCACGGCTGAATCCACGAGGTAAGGAATCGATTCGCGAGCCGCTCGGAAACGTCGTCGACCATGTTCCCACGGAGATTTCTCTCCTTGGAAGAAGTTTAATTGCCTCGATAAGCCTCGCCTGAATCGACGGTTTCGAGGCTCGACGCTTTTTTCCGAGCGAAGAACGAATTTCTTCCATAGCTTGATTACAATATCACTCTCGATATCTGCGGCTAGTTCGCTGAATAGTCATCGCACGTGCAATTCCAGTTTAACGGACAAAGGGAATGAAATTTTTTTGAGCCGCTGTCATGCTCCAGAAACTTTGTCGCGAGTTTTCTTCGGCGAGATTCATGAGACCAAAGCCAGGAGACAAATTGCGGAGAAGGAGCTCGGGGAAGAGATTAAGAACGCAAGAAAACGTCTCATTACCGCGAGCTTTCTACGCCGCGGTTACAGATCCCGGTTAATTTACATTTTCCCGCGAGCAACTCGAACAAGGCAAGAAAACATCGAAAGAGCGACGGTCCTTAAAACTGTTCTAAATTTTGTTGTCGCGTAAAACGATTCTGGAGGAACTGAGTGAACAAGATGAACGTAGATGAAGAGAGAGGGGGGGGGGAGAAAAAAGAGAACCGGTGGAATGGAAGTGTTCCATGGGCGGCGGCTTCCGTGGGCCGATCGAACGAACCCAGAATGGTGCCTTCAATTTTCGCGAGTGGAATTTATGACGCAGTTGGAGAAAATTGAACACGAACCCTGGAATCTATAATCTACGATGGTGTAATGGATGCGTCCTGAGATAATAATCTGCAGCGAACTTTATGTTCCCTATCAATAACCCTGTGTATATTCCTTTCTGGGGCTAATGGAAAAGGCGCTTTCATTCGATCTTTGAATTATTACGGGTGTAAAGAAAAATTTTCAATTTCCCACCAGATTTCGTAGAAGGCAAATACTTTGATAACAACTCATTACTTCTATCGTTCAAAAGATAGTAGATTCATCTAAATCTTGTCTTCTCAATCGAAAACACGATCTGCAATTTGGGAATGGAAGGAAATCAATTTGCAAGCCGAAATTAGGAATGTAGACTGATCCCATTTGAGACGATTATGGATTCAGATTTGTTCGAATCGATGCAGTTGTATCCTTGGGATTTAATCGTTCATGCGCGAATATTCCAGCACGACCGTGGGTCATTCTTCTCGAGTCTCATTGTATAAAGTATAAACGTTGCGAAGTATGCGCGGGCACGGGCGAAGAAATTTCTAAATTGAGTTTAATATCGGAGCCGTATTTCCGCCGACGGCGTGATTTCAAAATGAACGTGAAAACAGGAAGGGAAAGAATTCTCGATTGCGCGGAAGTTTTCAACATGAAAATACCAGAAATAATTATTATTAGTTCTGGGTTTCACTCGACCATGCTGTTGTGACGTTTCACGTAATATTTAATTCGATCAATGTATTCCTGTTTCGCAATCGCATGATTCAAGATACCTGTTATTTTTAATACATAGATACCTCTCAAATAGAATTTACATTATTAATATCGTCGATGGAACGACGTTTCAATTACGTGATGCATTTTGTTCCATTCAATTTAATTTCCTCGCTTTGCCACGTTTTATATATTATCGATTTGGCGAAATCATGCAGTAAACAAAATCCCTCTAGACATCAAACGGACGCGCGATGTCCTCTCCAATTACTGTGATTCCAACGTGTAATATCAACCGATTTGAACGAACGATTTGCGAGCTTAAAAAATTAAACGTTCTCTTATCAAACTCGAAATTATTAATCATCAAACCGATATGGATTTCAAAATGGGAATTATTTCGAAGGAAGTGAAATGCAAAGGCAGGTGCTTTCCGATCTGTAAATATTCAAAAAGTGGAACGTTTTTATGCAATGGGTGTATCGGGATTAAACTTGAAAATACTGAAATGCAGTTGGCAAAGTCAACGTAAATATAGGAACAGTTAAAATCGATACATTTTCCATTCGCTGCGCTGCAACCGTGCCCATTAATCATTACAGCTAATTTATATTCAGCACATCATTCGTGCACTATTTAAATCAAAATGTACAAATACATATAACATATACTTTCCCGGAACTATTAAAATAGAATTATTAAAAGAAAAATCATTGAATAATAATGATTATGAATTTCGTGTTCAATGGACCGTTCCGTCTATAAGATAAAATAAATACACGAGCTAGTTAAGCGTTTTTAGCTCAAGATGGAAACGAAGCAGCGATATAATCGTTGGAATTGAAAACCTAATTATCAGAAATCTGTTTCGTGGAACACTGGGTGGTTCCTATGCCAAGTGCAATCGTCGATTACGAGGGAAGCCAGTTGCACTCCAATATAATACGCAGAGTAGGAGTTAACCGGTTCTCCCTCGAAGATGGATCTAGAGAGGAAGGAGGGACCATGGACAGAATACGACAATAATTAAGAGGTCTCGAACTGGTGTTCGAGGAGGATTCGTGAGCGAGAGGGAAACTCGGCCTACACGACAGGTCCTCCCGGCATTGTACGTAGAAATTAATAATCGCGAGGCA